TTTTATATTTTAATTTCAAACAGGGTATTCCTATTTAAAGAAAGCATACAACATAGATTTTTTCTTGATAAAGTTAAATTTAAAGAATTATAGGAGCTTATGCTATTGATCGCAAACTTTTTTTGATGTGTGTATCTCAACAGTATATCACGAAATATCATCAGTCACATTATGTGACTCATTTGTGTCACGAAAATTTATGATTATTGCGTATTATTGGAATAAAGGAGTGATTGACTTGATTGTGATGAAGTATTTTTTATTCTGAACATACCTAAATACAAAAAAAAAATTGGAAAATTTAAGAAAGTTTAAATTCATGAAATTGCTACTATTTTGGCTCCAAATTTGAAAACTACTCTACAATGCCTGGCGACCATCGCATTAGTGCGCCCGGAACACAGTGTGGTCGGCGTCTGACGCCTCACTGCGCTCAAGTAACACAAGAAGCCGCTCGACTGCAACCAAGCGTCGACCCGCGACTCCATATTTGCATAACACAAATTTGTACCTTAATAATGGGAAAATAGAGATGAATATGCTGTAGGCGAAAAACAAGACGCGTCGCGACGCTTCCACACTGCGCCAGTGTGAGTTGAGCCTTAGCGTGATTTACGGGGATCTATTATCAGTCCGTAGACAACATATACACAGTCAGGTCATAAGTATTGTCACACAGTGAAAACTTTTCTTTTAGAATGCTGGCCACAAAAAAGTTTGTTGAATTTGAATTTCGAATTGTTCATGAAAATAAAAATGTATACTTATTAGAATTTTACTCATTTTTAAATATGGAGTGGACGCTTAAAGAAGACCGTGTTGCAGTTATTGCGTTGCATCGTTGCGGTTACGCGCCAATTCAAATTTTTGACATACTGAAAAATTTGAATATAATCTAAAGATTCGTTTATCGTACCATCAAACGATACAATGAAGACTCTAGTGTAGATGACAGGTCAAGAAGTGGTCGCCCTCGGTCTGTTAGGACTCCAGCAGTGAAAAAGCTGTGAAGGCGCGAATTCAAAGAAATCCCAAACGTAAGCAGAAACTGTTGGCCCTTCAGATGGGGTTAAGCAGAACCACGGTGAAAAGGGTGTTAAATGAAGACTTAGGGCTTCGGGCATATCGAAGAAAAACAGGACATCGTTTGAATGCTCGTCTAATGGACCTGAGACTGAAGAGATGCCGCGCTTTGTTGAAGCGGTACGCGGGAAAAAAATATCGGGAAATTCTTTTTTCAGATGAAAAAATTTTTACTGTAGAAGAGAGCTATAACAAACAAAATGATAAGGTGTACGCACACAGTAGTGAAGAAGCGAGCAACCGTATTCCGCGTGTCCAACGAGGTCATTTTCCATCCTCGCTCATGGTATGGTTGGGAGTTTCTTATTGGGGCTTAACAGAGGTACAGTTTTGTGAGAAAGATGTAAAAACGAATGCAGTTGTGTATCAAAATAGAGTCCTGACGAACCTTGTGGAACCTGTTTCTCATACCATGTTCAATAACAGGCACTGGGTATTCCAACAAGATTCGGCGCCAGCTCATAGAGCGAAGAGCACACAAGACTGGCTGGCGGCGCGTGAAATCGACTTCATCCGGCACGAAGACTGGCCCTCCTCCAGTCCAGATTTGAATCCGTTAGATTACAAGATATGGCAACACTTGGAGGAAAAGGCGTGCTCAAAGCCTCATCCCAATTTGGAGTCACTCAAGAGATCCTTGATTAAGGCAGCCGCCGATATTGACATGCACCTCGTTCGTGCTGCGATAGACAACTGGCCGCGCAGATTGAAAGCCTGTATTCAAAATCACGGAGGTCATTTTGAATAAACTTTAGTGTCATAAGAATCTATGTTTTGTTAAGTTCATTTTGGTATATAAATGGTTACATAATGAATAAACTTGTTTCAATTATTTTATATTAAACATGTGACAGAATTTATGACCTGACTAGGTATTAATGCTTAGTGGGCAAAAAATTAAAGTCGGAGGAGTCATTGAAATAAAAAATAATAATGTTAAATCCCTCTCCCGTAACACTTGGTTTAGTGCAGACACGCGCCTTTACCAATGCCAGAGAACAAAAAGTAAAGAGAACGGACACTCTCCGCCCCTCTCTAACTTTAGATACCTCACCACGCCCCGCACATTGCCGGTCACATTGACTGAACGACAACAAGGCTGCCGGTGAGCCGTTTTCACGCGAAGACGGCTTTGATATTTGAATATAGTTTCCATTTATTCATTACGAAACTTGTACGTTAATATAAAACATCATTTTACGGTACTATTTACAATGGTCGTGAATTGTGCTGTGTACGGCTGTTTATGATCATTTTCCGAAAGATGAAACGAAGTATGTAAATAAAAAAACTTGTGTGAGACTCATTCCGTTATTGTTTTCTTCATTTATTTACTGACGATTAATATATATGTATGTATAAAAAAATACAGATTTATTATATCAATATAATGAATGAGGCGCCATGACTTCGTGAACTAGTAGACAAGGGTTCTCGAATTTTCAAAATATTGCCGATAAATATTACGTAAGTAGCGAATATACCTAATTATTAACTAAGCAATGATGATCAACTTGGGTACGCAATTTCAAATACCTTGGTTACATTATTTAAAAGTACATGTCCAAAATATAAGTGCTTTGAATACATTTTTCAAGAAATCTTCAATATTACTCAAGTTAGTGAGTTAGAGAAAAATATGATGTTATATCGATATAAATACATAATAGACATGTGTAACTATTAGGATTCTGGATTCTATTAATAGAATCACATATAATAGATTCGCGTTAGCATTTTCGTTACGTTGCCGCTCAGACCACGCAACGTAATTGTACGAGAAAGTGATGTGTAACCCTGCCACTTCACGCACACATTTGCGCGTGTGCAGATAGCGCCTTGCTGTATGTAGTAGTAGTAGGTAAATAACTTTCGACCGTTGTATGGAGTGTTCGGGGTGTGTGATTTTTGTTAGAAAGGAGGTACGTTAGTAGTCGTCACATTCAAGTTTGACGAGAATATTCTTACCTCTAAGGGTGGCAAATTAGAGGATGAATCCGGTTTATTGAATTTCTCCCACTTTCGGTAACCGATTTGAATAAAACTTGGTGCATAGATATAAATTCCAATGTAATGGTGACCTAGAGTTGATCTGATGATGGAAATGACAGACGTCGATTGGGAGGAACTCCTCAACAGTATACAGCAGCTACCTGTTAAGTAGCAGTAGAGCTCCTTGTGAAAAATTTCATCCATGGTAGTACTGCCACCTTACTTATTTCTGCCACCAAGCAGTAATGTCAACATTAATGTGTTTCGGTTTTAGAGGGTAAGGGTGCTGGTGAAATTACAGGCGCATGGGACTTGTCATCTCAGTGCCCCTCAGATCTTTGCAATTTAAAGCTCTGAGTGGCACTGTAACTGTTATGGACAGGCGTGTAGTTACCATCAGGCGCACGACTTGTTCGTCTCGTCACTTAATGTTATAAAAAAAATCTAGTTTGGGTTAACATGATTGGTTTTGAGGAGAACTTCCAGCATATACTTTCAGGACATATGCGTTTCAATTATCGTTGAGGAAACCACGGTAACGAACACGGCGAAAGCGGATAAACAATCCTTTAGGTAGGTTTTTTTATTAAAAAAGTTATAATTATACTATTTAATCCACTTGAGCAGGGGCTCTCAAACTTCTTTGGCAGGTAGACCCCTCTCTCTCTGCCTCTCTAACATTGTTTTCTTTTCTAAATCATCAAATTCAAATGTGTGTTTGACAGCTAACACAGTGCTAGTGAAGAATTAAAAAAAAAAGTTAATATACATTTATCTAACGGAAGGAATATCTCGTTTCTTGTCAAATGTTTAAGAACTTCATAGGTAATATAAGGCCACTTAAGCAATTCAAATTTGAATCACTATCGCATAGCAGGCACACACTCGACAATCTGTTCTTGTTTAAGCTTGCTAATGGAATTCTAGACACGCCTGAATTACTGAACGAACTAGGTTTTAATATACCGCGTAGGTTGCCAAGGTCTCAAAATGTTTTAACCTATTCCGTACCCCGAGCTCCCACTCCAATTTGGGCCATTTTCCACCTCTTGACAGACTGGCACGTCTACATAACGACAAGTGTATTAACACTGTGACATCTCTGCCGACAATTTGCCGACATTCTATCAAGTCCCTGACGTCTTAAAACATTTTAAATATATATGCATATTCTTATGCCTTAATTACTTAATTTTCGATTTGCTTTTTTATTTTGCTCTATTAATACTATTTACATTCTTTTCAATTTAATGTGATTGATCGATTCAAATTGTAATAGTAAATGTTAACGTTCTTATTACCTCCATTGCATGTTGTCTTCACCTATAACTGTAATAGCATTAAGTTCTCTGTTTCGTAATGTTAAATATGTAATTGAATGTTATAATGTATATAGTGTTGATGAACTGAATAAATAAATAAGTAACTCATATGTTTGTTATAAAATTATATTTGACAAATTGATAGCAACAATGATATGATTACCACTGCCCTCACACTAGACAAGCCTGTATAGTGAGGTCCCAGACAACCGAATACAATACTTAGCTTTTAAATTGAACCTAAGATATATTGGGTTAAAATAGTTATAAGATAGCATTGTGTAAAAGTTTTGATAACGACCTGCTTAAATCGGTCCCCATTCACAATAAAGTCCTCTTGTACACATTTTTTTACCCCTTGTAGGTTAGACCTTGGGGGTCATTATAGACCACTATAGGAATCATTGGAATAAAGTTATGGTATGTTTTTACATTCAGTAATATTGTAGAGAGAAAAAAAATGTGGGTTACACTCATAATCCAGTGACCAATAGATGTATACTTATTCCGATCTCTGACTAATACGCATTTAACTAAAATAATATTAAAATAAAATAACTAATATAATATTGTCAACACGTTATTTCAAATGTTGCTCACCAACTTCGCTTAGTTGAGAGATATCTAAAACAAATAAAAAGTTTGATCAATAGACAGTCCTTTGTTTGTAGGACGGGTGGTCGAAAGAGGTAATCGTTGTAAAACTTCGGAAAAATATAACTATAATGCGTGGGTATTAGAGTTTACAATAGAATACTTCATTCCATTAAAACATTTATGACAAACCGTACGAATATTTAAAAGATAGTATTGATTACAGTATCAATGAATTTTTATTATTAATATAAAAAAATATCTTTAGGTTAAATCACGTAGAGTATGCGATAGAGTTGCATGATTTAATTATTTTTAGAAGCAGTAAAAGCTTTTTGTTAAAGAGCTCGTCCAGGGAAGTAGTGCCACCTTACCTATTTCTGCTACAAGAAGTAATGTGTGCATTACTGCGTTCCGGTTTTGAATATAAGGGTCCTGGTGAAATTACAGGCACATGGGACTTGTCAACTTATGTCTCAGAGTGACAGGCGCAGTGACAGTGCTCTTCAGAATTTTGCGATTTAAAGCTCTGAGTGGCGCTGCAACTATTATGGACAGGCGCGTACCACCAGCCGTCACTTGATATTATTTTAAAAAAGTAATCGTAATCTCGAACGGAAAAATATAACAGAAGCTGTTATGCGTGGGTATTATTAGGACTTTGCATAGTATAACTATGACACTAAAAACTCGCCCATAAAAACATTTCCGACAAACTGTACGAATACGAGTGTAATATTTATTAGTATCAAAAGGCCCATTTAGATGGAGAGATTTTCTCGTCTCGAAGATACGATTATCGAAAGAATATAAAAAACTTTCCTCGTCTAATCATTCGCGATTATCGACCATCCACGTGAGCGATAATCGCCTCGCCTTTGAATATTGAACGTCCGTGTAAACAGAACTTGAAAGCAAAAATCGTATTTCGAGTTTTTGTGCCAGCCGTTTCTACCATGAGTACAGTGCGCGAGGGTGTTTTGATTATCACTGCTTTTCTTAGACAAGAATTAAGGAAAAGAAAAAGAAAAAAAGGGTTCAGAAATGTTATAAAATTTAAAAAAAATGTATATTTCTATACAGTGCAATGAACTTAATATTATCAGCAGTTCCAAATTTCAATGATTTTTGTGTCATTTTGATATATTCATAGTCAATACCGCAGTAATCACTGAACTCGAATGGCAATTCTCACACTCAAAACGGTTCGACCCGATTTGTACGATAATCGTATGAACTTGAAAAAATGTCACACGAGATCGTGGTTAGACAAGACGAAAACTCGTAAGTAAGAATCTCCTTACTACATATTTCTCTGTGTAAACTGTCGAGGAAGCAATTAAGTTGCTTGCGAATCTCGTATGACATAATCGTAGGCGAGATTTTAGTTTTTGCATCAATGTAAACATTATGATACGATAATCTTATGGCGATTATTGCTTACGATAATCGCGTACGATTTTTCGTCACGAAGCGTGCGATAAACTCTCTCCATCTAAATGGGCCTTTACTCTTGCATTAAGATATGTCACCGAGAGGGCGATGGAATTGCGTGATTTAATTCCGCATTCCCCTTTCCATTATCGGGGGATTAGTAGACGTAGGCTGGGGCTCCACCTCTATGTTGTAGACATTTCAAGGATTCGCACAAAGCATTATGCTTCCACATGTGCAAAACTCTTGTATCCTTACTGTTTTAGAACACGTACAAGAGAACATATTTCACCGTATCTTGTCGATAGCAAACAGCTTAATATGGCCAATTCTAGAGTACTAAAATTAGCCTGCTTTGTACAATCCTTACATAAGTTTAAAGTTGTTTGGTACCGAAAAGCAATCTTATAGGTATATTTATGAGTTACCCGTCTATACTTTCGTCGGGACTTCGGGTTGTTTTAAATAAGCCACTTCCAAGGTGTGGAAAGATCTTCCCCCGCCTATCTGTCATTGCCATTACTACACATTGGAAATTAAATAATTTTTTCGGATCTAAAAATGCGTACCTTTGTTTGTCTTTTTCAAGCAAACTTGACGGGTTCTTAACGAGTGCTATCAACCGTGATCATGAGACGTGTAAAGAGCAAAAGTAGATCCGAAAAATGGTTTTAATTGGAAATATATACAATTAAAATAACAAATATTCTAATACGTCACATACGTCACAAATTATAATCCTATTAATACAAGTCCTGAACTTAAAATAGGTTATGACGGTTTCAGTCGAAATTCACAAATTGTATGTAAAATCCTAATAATTTTTGAATGGCTGTAGATCAAATTACCTTGTACATGTACTTTATTTTCTTAAATAAATGATTATTATTATTATTATAATGTAATGCATTTCAAGATTGTTTATAAAATAACCGGTGAGAAATTTTCGACTGAATGTCGACAACAATTGAGACACATTTGTTTTACACTCCATTCTCATATTTTTGCCCAGTTTAGATGGCAATAATTATCAAACAAACAGAGCACAGACACACACACACACACAAACACACACAACACTAAAACATACTTACACTTACACCTTTATAATTTATATAATAATAATGTTATATTTGTATGTAATAATTTAATAATATGTAGATTACCATTAATTTAAGAACTTAATGTAAATTTTCAACATGTTTGTTTTTCGATTAGGCTATAGATTAACGCTAGATAAAGTAACGCTATAATTAAAATGTAATATGACAAACTTTGTTATTGGCTATATACGTATTATTATGATTGTAAACGAAAATTAAAAAGCTGTAAAGTTTGCAAATAAACAAATAAATAAATAAATAAATATCCCACACACTCTTCATCACAAACCACACCCACATTTAACACATGAGCAATTTCCATCTCCCTCTTTAACAGCCTCAGCCCTGTGCTAAAAAGAGATGCCAAGACGTATCTACTCACCAGAATTCGAAGAATCGTCGCGTTTAGCTGTCGGTTTAGTTTTACCACTGGAACTTTCTTTGGACGATTGTTTCGGCAGGCCAATTTGTCTGGCCGATTTGTTGACTGTTTGCAAAGGCTGTGGTTTCCGGCCTGGGGACTGCTAGAAGCAAGAACAGTGTTACTTACCTTAGATATCTAATGCTAACGCTAAAATAAATAATATAAACAATTAAATTATTATATTTGTTAATGAATTTGACATTCACCGTATTATTATACATTAATTTACATTTGTTAGTTATTAAGAATCCATATTGACATATACACAGGTATACAGTACCTACACTTGACTAATTCAATTGTTTATTAGTTTTAATTAATTATCTTGATTCGGATATGTGCACGATTGTGTACTAGGACTTACTATTATATAATTATTTCTCATTATTTTGTAAACTGACGCTCACTTTTCGAAGAGTTGTATAAAATTTACCAGATAGGTACAGGATCTGTAGGCACGCTCACTTTCCGTCGCGCTGTACGCAACTAACGGTTGCCACCGCTGAGCCGTCGACTCTAAGTCGGCTACCAAATCTCCCGACCAGCGTCCCTACGCTGAATGAACGGCGTCTCTCCAATTCCCAAATGCCTACGAGACTGGAGGAACCAGAGGATGTTTAGCTCCTCCTCTACTAGCTCTCCGGGCTAGTGCCGGAGATGCCGGCAGCAGTGCCCTGAGACAATGTCCGGACATAGCTCCCGACTTAAAGTGCAACTCACGTGCCCCACGAGTCTCCTCGCCATTAGGCCCTCGTCTAGACCGCTAGTAAGACGCGTTAGATGCGCGCGAGGCGAACGCCCCGGGGCAGCCGAACGTGTTCATCCCTGCAGCTAACCAAAAACCCCGCCGAGTCCACATCCATGTCCGAGTCGCTGGTGAAGGCGTATCACTGGCGGAGGGCTCGGCCTCGACCCGCCCTATCATGGTTTTCGGGGAGCCCGTAATCTCCCCGGAACTCCCTATCTCTCGGGTCGGTAGATACTGTCCCGAATGAACAGTTGAACTGTACTGGTTTTGAGACTACAGAGTTCGTTTTTGTATACTTGGAAGCCATAGTGTTATTAAAAATACGATTGATTGCCTATAGTGGCAGCAACAGTACTATCTGCTAACACAAGATAAATTGTGAGGTAAGGATGTTGACTGATTGAACCAATAACTAATTAAGTATTATAACTATTTCTCTAATTTTTTTTTAAAGTAAATAGACTGCTCTGGACCATTACTTGGAGCAAAGGTAGGGTCTATGATGGAACGAGCTCACCCAAAAGATGCTTTTTCAGTAGCACCTTAAAAATACTCTTAAAAGTTTTATGTGCTCGGAAACACAGTCGCAGGCAGGGAAATTCCATTCCTGGGCTGTGCCATGTGTGATTGATTGTATTGTATTTTAAAACATAGCACGTATTTTACCATTACAGTACTTGTGTAGTATTTATCTTTTATTAAGTAAACTATTATGGATTAACAAAATATTTTGGTAACGATAACATTAATTTAGGCTATCAGCGCAAAAGTGGTATTACCCACTTTTTTTTCTCCAATATTACTTTAAATTATACTAAAGTACATAATAATAATATTATATTTGGATGATACTTTCATTTATAAAATACATTTAACTGTTTTTTTTTTTTCATTTAAAGTAATTTAAGAAAATTAAATGTAGTTTACACCTCTTTTGCGCTGATAGCCTTAGTTGTTCGCAGCTATTGCAGAATAAAAGTTATGAAATAATAAGTTATTTGGTACAGTCAACAGACAATTTTTCTTCTTCTTTTAAATGTTATGGCCCCATCGAAATAATCAATGATTTTGCCAATGTCAAGTAAAAATAACTATGTACGGAAGTTTAATATTATTATAAAAATTATACAAAAAAAAATGGCGATGTCGCCAATGTCCTGTCGTTTTTTTGTTGCTATACACTTTTGTTCGAAGATCCATCAACAGTAGCTTGATGTGCTGCAGCCTGTACCTGCTACCTAACTTCTATTATTTAAAGTATTCTTACCTGATCTTCTCCGGAAACATTGTCCAAGAAATTCTCCTGTTCAGACTCGCTTTCGCTCTCGGAATCGAAGTCGTGTTTTGCAGTATGTCGCACGGGAGGATTGAACTTCGCCATTGCGGCTTTCACCACGCCCTCTCCGTCGGAACTCGAAGGACTGTCTATTTCTTGAGCGTTAACCACCACAGTTTCGTCATACATCAGCTCCAAAGCGAATTCCTCACGAACTATTCCGCTCTTCTCCCTCTTCACGATAAATGTTTGGCAATGTTTGTCACTGGTTTCCATAGCAACGGATGAAGGCGCAACCTTTTCGGTCGGGCACTCTTTGTCGAAAGACCTCGTGCTTTTGCAGTCTGGTGGCATATTGGGGGCAACATGGTACGGAATGGCACAGAATGTGTGAATATATGAAACTACAAGCATGTTTAAACGTTGAGAACTCCTCGGGTTCGTATTGAATTTCAGATGCGCTTATTTGAATTATGGCGCCAAGCTTGAATACACATATGTCCCGTTAGCTATTTCATGCCCCACGCATGGTAGATTTCTTTTATATGCACTTTCCGTTACCGAAACCAGATCAATACTGTGCAGCCTTCTAACGATGTTGATATTTCGCGTGTAGGATAATAAATATATTTTGTAAAATATTAATTGCATAAGAAACAAAGTCCTACCACGCGAGATATTTTTAACGAGTAACATAATTAGTTGCAAATGAAAACTAATTTACCTATATATTTTATTTGAAACTTAATTTAATTAGAATAAGAATGAGAAAACTTTATTGTGTTAAACATTTTTATTAAAAAAACCTACCTCAAAAGCTTGCTTATCGGCTTTTTTATTGGAATTACATTGACTTACAATTATATGGATGTCGGGTCCGCGCTAAAAAGTGTCCGAACTTATAGGGCGTTAAAATCGTATACAGAGCGTCATTCACGCTCTAGTCTTCATTTGTTCGACTGACAGCGAAGCAAGCAAAATTAGACAGTACTGCGATGACATTACAATTTAAATTCAACGTTTTAGCTTTTTCATATTCCTTTACATGTCACTACGTTTAAATAGGTTGACTTGGGACATTTTTTTCGTGGTTTTTGTATTAGACCCGTCGTCCATTTATTTGTAAGTCAATGTGGAATTACATCTATTTGCCAAGTTTTACTGACATCGGTTAACAGAAAGTGCGCGAAACCGGATTCATCCCCTAGTTTGCCACTGTTAGGGGTGGAACATTTTTTTGAAATTTTATGGGACCTAGACTGAGGTACCCTCTTTTCAACAGAAAAAAAACCATCAAATTCGGTTCACAAATGGCGAAGTAATTATGTAACATACACACAAAAACATACAGTCGAATTGAGACCTCCTGCTTTTTTGAAGTCAGATGTTCATCATCGTCATACATAATTAAGAACCAATTAAATTAGCCTTCAAATTAATGAAAAACAGCTTTGAGGTCAGTTCACTCGTTTGGGAGTTACGGTGCTACAGACACACAGGCAAAGGCTACAAACTTATAACTCCCCTCTTTTTGCGTCAAAGGTTAATAATAAAATTATGAATATGAAAAAATGTCAAATAACTTTATTACTATTTAAATATTATACTAAAATACAATCTTTCTCCACTCAAGTTTCTTGATTGTGAAATACATATCCTACGAGTGAATGTAGTATTTATATGAAGTATATTCCTATATTATACAAAAATAACTGATTCAACAACCCGTGTAATGTTAGGGCTTTCAATCTCGATACATTTCCGCGTCCCGGGAAAAAATCTCGAAAATACCGGGAAAAACGAGACTTTCAAAAGTAGATTTCCATATTTATCTAGGCATTTAGATAGTTAAAACATACTTTAGTCAAGTTCCATATTCACTTATTTAATAAAATCAAAATCTTTCTTTTTCCATTTTTACAGAAAGCACGTAAGAAACAAACAAAGGACGTTAAATATGTATAGTTCCAAACAGAGAACAGGACCTTTTAATGTTATCGTTCTTTAATTTCCCCATATTATATATACTAAAATCCACCCTACAGTGTCGCAATGTCCAAGGAGCCAGAGTAAGAAATTACTGCTGGTTTAATAGGTTTTTTAATACTGTTTAACTAAGTGACTTAAGTCTCAATAGTCTCGATTTTCCCGGGAAAGAAAACATCAATCTCGATCTCGAAAATGCAAAAGAAAATAGTCGTGACCCTTGAAATTTTTGTAACCAAGATTCCCGGGATGAAAGCCCTAATTGTAATTAACATGTGTTTGGCTAACAGGCATTTGTAATCGAATAAAAATATTCATGTCCCCGAGTTAATAACTGTCGATGTCACAAAATTCTAGTCTACGAAAATGTGGCACAATTTTGCAATCTAGAGATCTGATAATCCGGAAATATTCAATGAGATACAATGTCAATCTTATTAATGTAGGATAAAAATAACTCAACGGTCGTCAAACGTGGGGATACCTCTAAATAAACATTTACCTCTAGGTTGCCTTACAGCAAATATCATCCTACATACACACAAAACATTGTAATTTATAAATCATGAAACTGTAAAATTTCGTACAAAATAAATATCTAGTTGCGTTTCCTAAATACAAAATCTTGTAGTAAACATGCAAAAAATATACAATCTGTCCGCTATAAGTAATTAAATTACACAATTATGTAACATGCTCAATTCAGTTGCATAAACCCTGCACTTAAAATTAAATTACACAATTTAGTTATGACCAGCATAACGCAAAAAGTGTTTTTATAAACAGTCCATAGGGCTCACAATTTAACACACAATTCAATGATTTGGAATTTAGATTCATTGACCCAATTTAATGATAACAACTACATGATTCTACTACAAAATTTCGACATTATCACAACTTACAGTCTTCAATTCTGAGGGGAAGAAATCTTTTTAACATTTAACACTAGAACAACTTGGCACATGTTAGAGAGACTAGTTTTAGACTTAATGTGACTTATCTGTGATGCGATAAGTACACAAGCGACAAGTCTCGAAATATCAGTCTAGTTCAGATCACAGACATCATAACACAAGAGCGAATGTTTAGATTTGTCTATTTTTAACGACTGCTGACTTTGTTTATGAGTTCATCGCATATCGCGGTCAATTCTTCGTTAGCTTTGGTTTTCTGCGAGACGGTCTCTTCCAGAGACGTAATGTGCAGCTCTTTCCTCTTAATCATAGCATTCAGCTTCAAGACTTCCGCCTCGTGGGCTCTGTTTATCTTTTGCAGCTCCTCGTTTGCATGGTTAAGTTTAGAAGTAGCATGCTGCTTTAATAGCTCGTAGTTGTTTTGCATCTTAGATAGATTGTCTTCGAACTCCTTAATTGACTTTTTATACGCTTCCTCGTTGGTTTTAAAGCCGAGTATTATTTGTTTACTCTTCTCGTATTTGCTGTGCAAATCGCTGAAGGACACCTCCATGCTCGCCAAATGTGCTGTTTGCTCGTCTCTTTCCCTAATTAACTGGCTTCTTTCGTCCGCATGTCTTTTCTTATCCTGTTCTTTTTCAGCAATCAAACTAGCGATCGTCCTCTCATACTCCTCAACGACCATCGCCATACTCTTATTGTGTTTGGTTTTCTCGTCAAGTTTTTTAGTTAGCTCATTAATCTTTTTCAATCTCTCTTCGCTTGTAGCTTCTAAAGACTTTACTTGCGATTCCATATCGGATAATCTATCTTTCAGTTCTTTAGCTTCAGATCTTAAAGTATAGACATTTATTTCTTTATCAGCCAATAGTTCACGAAGTTGGGTAAGAGCTAGATCTGCTTCATTTTGATCTCTAGAAACTTCAGCAATGGTAGTTTCATGGGCAATTGCGGAGTTGTTCGCGCTCAAGGAAAGTAGTCTATCAATAACAGCTATGGCGGGTGATGTGAATGTAAGAGAACGTCTATTAGATGCAACAGGAGTTGCAGCTTTAGTTCTTGGTGTAACCATTGAATTCACAGCAGGGTTTACGACCATCATGGGTTTGGCGACTGTGATGTTAAGGTCATCAATGCTTTCTTCAGTGGTATCATGGGCGTCCAGTTCATTAGTAACATTTAAAGAAGATAGTTCTGGAGCAGGAAATTTTGCTATAAAAGTTACATCATTTGGAGTAGGAGCCGTTTTCTGCGGAGTGCTCTGTCTTTTTTGAACATTTTTAAAAGTAGCAATAATGCTATCAGAAGAAACTCGTTTTGCAAATAGCGGATCAAACTTGAGGAACAAACTCTCTTTACCGTTGTCAGCAACAGCATTGTTTTGATTCTGGTTCAAAAGGAATTCAAAAGCTTCAGCATCTATAAATAGTTCACCAGCATCAGCGACGCCCTCATCCGTTGTAGGCAAGTCAGAAAATTGCAACATGTCATCATGATCACTACCGCTGATATCTATAATTTTTTTGTTATTAATTAATATCTCTGCTTCACTTTCAGTTACTTTGTTGTCATCAACGAGTTCTTCAGTTTCAAGAAAAGGGCCTTCAATAGTATCTTCATCTTCAGTGTTTACTTTGTCAGTATTTTTCGATGAACTAGTAATGTCATTGATACTATTTGACGAATTCTTTTCCTCATCCCGTGGTGATTTCTTTATAGATCCATCAATATAAGTATCTTTTGTAATTTGAAGAGAAGAATCAGGAGAACTTTTGGTGGCAAATGAATTATCTAAGCTTGGTGGTGGAGATTGTCTTACTTTTGATTTTGAAATGAATGGATTGAAATTTGTGTCTTTTATATCAAGGATGTTGTAGGAACTTTTAGATTCAAGACCTTCATTGGATGAAGTACCCGCTGAGTAATAAGCGGAGTGTTCCGAGGATGTCGTGTTTTTAATTTTTTCATTAACTGTTGTTGCGGAGTTAGCAAAAGTTTTATATTCCCTCTGCACTTCACTTTCTACAAGTTCATCAATAATGCTACCCTTTTCGGAATTGGAAATTTCTTCAGTTAAATTTACATCAATAGACACTACGTCTTCCACTTTCGGAACACTGACTGAAACTTTATTAATTGCTCCAAGATCTTGAAGTTCAGCTGGAGTGTTTTTAGATTCACTGAGAGTTCCATCGATTTCTATGCTGTGTACTGTGGGTTGCATATCTTTATTTATAGGTTTTATTTCTTTTGCATTTATTTTATTAGCCAGTGGTTTAGAAGATTTTTCAGTTGTGGCTTTTGAAGACCCACTAAACGTGGCATTGTTTTTGTTATTGATTGTTGACGGTTTCTTTCTCAAAGGCTGTGATTTACGTTTCTCCCTATTACAATCTTTTTTCGTTAATGATTTTTTACCAATATCCGTATCATTTGTTTGATCAAATGATTGGTTGGGCGTAACACCCAGTGGAGGCGACATTCGTATTCTAGCTTTTGTGGCAAATGGATCTTCTATGTCATCAAAGTTGAGGTTATATCCTTTAGAAACAATTTTTGGTGAGCTAGGAGGAGACATTCTGATTTCTTCATTAATTTCAACAGGGATAACTTTTTCAAAACATCCCATTCGTTTCTCTTCTAATATTTCTTCAAAGTTAGCTGATACGGAAACAAACGGACTATTATTTGCAGAAGCTACTATTTCTTCATCCGTTGCATTATTATTGTCTGCTTGCAACTTTGCAGTTCCAGAATCTGCAAGTTTATCTTCAGGCATTGGTTCTTCATTATTACCTTGGTTATTTTTAAATGTTTCTAGCACAGACTGTTCGCTATTTACTTCTTCAGAAATTGCAACGTTCTCAGTTTTCTCTGCAGCTAATTTTGCAATAGGTGCTGTAGTTACAAGAGAGCTTAAAATGTTAACATCAGAGTCTGGTATTTGCTTTGACATATCCGTTATCTCATCTGTTGGGGTAATTATATCTTCATTTGACGTTATGTTGTTATCCTTTACTATATTATGTTCAAAATCGTTATATTTTATTGCTTCATCTTCAGTTACACAGACTGAAACAGCCACATTTTGAGTAATGGATTCTTTATTCTCTACAATTATATTCGACACAGTTGATTCAATAAATGTGTCTCTTTTGAACTTTTGGTGTATCACATCATCACCAATTTCTATTTTGTCTCCAAGTGACATCTGATTTTCAGTCATAATGTTATCAATTTTCACTTCAGCTGCAAGATGAAATTCAAACATAGGAAGATTTTTTGTAAAATTTATATCAGAATCTACTGAATTAACTAATTTGGAATCTTCTGGAGCCAAAATGTCAGGTAGCACTGAGATAAAGTTATCTTCGTTTTGTTTAGAGTTTTCTTTGACTTCATTTTTTGTGTTATTGGATACATTCACAGCCACAGACGTCTCTACCCTGCTTTTATCTAGTGTCGTAGAAGATTTTCCTTCACTTTCAAGTTTCTCGATTGTTCTTTGTAGCTCTTCTACTATATCTATATCTTCTACTATATCTGTAGAAGAGCTACAGACAACAGGTGTATTCTCTCCTTGAGGAATGGAAGTAATTTCATTTGCTACGTTTTCGATTGCATTGAGAATAATGTTAGTTTCATTCAAATCAGAACAAACAGGTGCGGCACTTATGCTGTCATTAATAATAATAGATTCAGCATCTTGATTTTCAGTGCCTTTAACAATTTGTTCAACAGCTGTAATTGCAGATTCAATCACAGTTGCTACTTCATTGGAAACTTGAACCATATCCAACATATGCCGTTCTGGTTTAGCACAATAAGTTTTCTCCAAATTTAATGTTCCTTCATCTTTAAACCTTGAAGCACTCTCAGTTGATGTTGGCATAATATTTTCCACAAGGTGATTAATTTCACCTTTTGAGAGCTGCTCAGTAACTCCAATCACACCTTCCAGAAAAACTTTCTCAGTATCATCATCATCAGGTAAGGGAATATCAGCTGGAGTAGTATCTAGACCATCATTTATTGATTTTTCTTCATCAACAGTGTTTGCTTGAGCTGTATTAGGAGTATCCTCAGAAGATATATTAAAAAGAAGTACTCTAGGGTCAATAATTAAAGGTATCTGTGATAATGAGCTAATACCTGGACAACCATTTAACATCTTTTCATTCCTATTTGTAACAATTGCAATATTATTTTCTGTATTAGAATTTACTTTAGCAATAGAATCTATACAATCTTTTTTAGTTGTTTTTTCTACATTAAAAGTATCATTTTGGTCAAGTGTAACACTTACATTTGCAACCATATCTGGAACTACTTGTTTAAAACCAATGTCAACAGGTAAACTAGACTTTGTTGGATGAACTTGAGCACAATTCTCCATATTCTTGATTGCCAAGCTTGAAGCACCTTCATTCTCATTGACATTGTCAATTTTCTGCATATTCTCATCCATGGTGTTATCTTTTACAGTTCCAGTTGATACAACAGACAGATCATCAGATTTAGCAGAAGTAATGGTAACATTCAATGTATCTTTTACGTCAATCAACTCATTGATGGAATTCCCATCTAAAGATACAACATTTGGTTCACTCAGAGTTTCTTGAGATTTAAAGGACAGATCACCCTGATTTTCAGTTTTAGTAAATGTAGATTCACAATCCACAAATTCACCATCTGACTCATTTGCAACAGCATCGCATTTGTTAACAGGCATATTTTGAGGTTGAACTTCAAGGGTATTATTTATGGAATCGTTGTATGATATATCCATGTACTCAACTGTGTTATCAAAATTCTCATCATTGGTTTTTGTATTTATAGCTTTTGTTTCAAATGATTTCCCACTTTGAAATAATAATTTATGAATTGGTATTTTTTCCTTACTAAATATGATTGTAGTTTCATCTTTCCATTGCAATTCCTTTTCTAAATCTTCATTAAAAACTAGACTGTCTCTATTTGGACTGTTTCTTTTTGTTAAAGCATCTTGAGATTTTTGACTGGACAGAGGAGTTGAAGCAAGAACAGCCTGGGGCTTCTCAGCAGCAGATTCTGGTGATAAGACTATAGGTGGACTGAGAGTTTCAGTTTTAACTGGGTCAATATCATCCTCGACTGGAGGTATAGGACTCTGCGATGGTCTAAATATGTTTAACACACTTTTTAGACCCCTCATAATGGTAGAATCACCATCTTTAAGTTCTCCCTTACTCGGAGTTGTTGCTTCTGGAGTATGCACAATAGAAGATGCAGAACTTGGTAGAGAAAGATTTTCATCAATGTCATTTGGTGTGCTCACAGCAATAACGACATCGTTGTCCAAGGTGACAGTTGAGTCTAAAGGCCTCAAGGCATTTCTATTTGTGTCCATGTGGCCTTGTTCCGCTGGAATTATTTGCAGTGGGAGGCACATTTGCTGTCTGACACTATCATTTTTAGTAATGGCTGAGTTCATTGACCTGGTCAAACTTCCATTATCTACAACGTTATTACCAGAATCAAATGTTCTATTATCTAGGCAATTTGCTGTGTAGCTTTTAGACATAGGCGACAATGTTGGTGTTGTGGAATACCTCAATTTCATATTTAACTCTGATACATCAAGTTCTTCATACCCCTTCTCAGTGCAAGGTGTTCTTGGCAAGACGTTGCTGTGTTGAAACGCGTTTTCCTTGTTGTCAAAATCACACACACTACTGTCTATGTCCATCGGCTCCTCGTACTGAGCCATGTTTACAGTTTATTGCACTTCACACTTGAATAAAACACTTGTTTTTCTATTCAAAAGAACTACTTTGAGGTTGAGATCAGTCGTTATCTCCTCCACACGTCAATCTGGCGACACAAATAAAAAAATCAGTCCAATTTTTACAGTTAAACGATTTCAGTTTCACTAGATTTCTAACGCGTATTTTATGCAGCGACGCTGAATGTGTGTCATTTGAAAACAAAAATGTCGGAGAACACGCAACTCACTCTGAAAGTCTATTTTTATCCTTTTTGTAGCGCATGCACTGCGTCGTACATTTTATATAACGAGCACGCCCGAGGGAATCTTGCCAAAACGCTGAAGCAGTTTAAATACACCGCAGTGGACTTCACCGCTCCGCTCGAACGCACCGAACGACGAAAACCGTTTGAAATTACGATTTTTTAATTCAACGGTCTTGTCAAACGTTTGAATGTCAATGTCATAATAGGGACTTCACGATTCGAGTTTCATAAACATCGATTCAATTGAACACGATCTTTAAGACGATTTCTTGACTCGATTCATTTCAATGCGATTTTTAAGCGAATCGATTCAAAAGTAAAGCGAATCGAATTGTCTAGAACTCTAGATCGTATTCATAAGTTAAACAAAAGCAGAGAACAAAAAGTAAAGAGAACGGACACTCTCCGCCTCTCCCTAGCTTTAGATACCGCACCACGCCCCGCACATTGCAGGTCACATGGACTGAACGACAACAAGGCTGCCGGCAAGTAGAGATGGTTAATATAATATATAGCTCAAATTATAACGTTAAATTAAAAAATAATTATAGCAACTATAATTTGAAAGACATAAAGGTGTTAAAATTATAACGAAGTTTTTTTCACTTTGGATTGGAGTACGTTAAGAAAATTAAACCAAATGCCATCTAGCGACATAATTTTACAATATTTCAATGCCATACAGTCATCTATCCGTGCTTTATTTACGCAGCTAACAAACAAAATCCTTCTTCGTTCTGAGTTATCTTCCTTTAAATTTTTCATAGTTGGCACCATATTCTGTGTGAAAATTGCGGCTCTTGTCATTGGTGGAAACAATTATAACGTGAAATACTTTCACAATTATTTGTAGCATTTAACGTTTGGTGCGAAACGCGAAATAGCTGATTAGTTTATTGATGTTAAATTTCACGTTTGAATACGCTAAGCGCTAGTGCTATATTTAGCACTTAGCAAGTATTATAATTGTAGTTATGTTGTAAATTATAATTTTGGTTACGTTTTAATACGATTTTGAGTTAATGGTGGGACATTAGCAAAATTTAGTCTGGTGAAGCGATTTAAATTAAGATATAATTAAGCACTTGGATTTATTTAGTTAGTTTAGCGTTTGTTTAATTAGTAATTCGTTGTAATATTTGTACATAAAAGTACTAGTATGTGCGTTATTATTAATTATTATGAGTGTAATTTACTGTAAATAACCAGTGTAAAGTTTTGTGCAAATTGTAAATAGTAAATTGTTAAAGTATGAAGGGAAGCTCTTAGAATAATAACGCATAGAATGATAGTTTCATATCAAACGAACTGTCACAAGTGAGGCAAAAACAAAATTCATGTAGGCGTAAGCAACTTGTAACTACGCTCGTCGGCACGCACACAAATATACAAATAATGATGCCATGGAATAACATTTCCCTCAAAAGTGGGGAAATTGTATCTTGATTAACTCATCATTAAGTTAAAGGTGCCTACAGATTTGCCCGACATTGTCGATCAGGTGCCTACAGATGTGCTCGATTTTGTCGATCGTTACTGTCGAACGACAATGTCGATCAGGTGCCTACAGATATGCTCGGTTTTGTCGATGAAAAACGAATATAGCACTTATTTGTAAATCCAAGATGGCGGACACGATTTTTTAAAATATGCTATATGGGTATCATTTTCGAGGTACTTGGGGGTGCTCATTACGAATATGGCACTCATTTCTAAATCCAAGATGGCGGGCACGATACTCAAAAAAATGCTATATGGGTATCATTTTCGAGGTATTTAGGGATGCTCATTACGAATATGGCACTCATTTCTAAATCCAAGATGGCGGACACGAGTTTTCAAATAATGGCAAGTTGGGTATCGTTTTCGAGGTATTTGGGGGTGCTCATTACGAATATTGCTTTTGTTTGAACTGTCGTGTTTGCCATCTTGGATTTAGAAATGAGTGCCATATTTGTATTGAACATTCCCAAACATCTCGAAAACGATACCCAACTTGCCATTATTCGAAAAATCGCGCCCGCCATCTTGGATTAAAACCGAAAATGCCATAAGCAAACTTGAAAGAAAATAACTGTTAAAATAGATTAAGAAATCGCTTAAGAATGCTCCCGTTTTAAGAAAATAAAATATTTCAATATAAAATATTTCGCTTAAGTTACGAAAAGAAAGACATATAATAAGCTATCAAAGTTGTACTGGTGGCGCCAACACTATAGTAGAAACAAATATATACTGTAAATTTGTTGCAATATGTGCTCCAATTCAAATAAAATTAAAATAAATAATTATTCAATAAAGCATGAACGCAGAGCCGTTAAAAGTATTATAAAATAATAAAGTGTCCCAATCACTTACAGGAGTTAACGAAAACATTTAATGTTTATTCAAGTAAATTAGTTCAAGATGCGCAAATAAATCGAAATTACAGGCACCACTAAAATTTACGTAATATAATTATTTTGAAACAGAATAGCAAAATGGGGAGAAAAAAAATTCGTTACTTTGCAACACTTTCGTATCTTGTTGCCGCGAAATTATTTTTCTGTTTTAGTGAATAATTACGTAAAAATATGAGTTGAAACGCATTACTTACTTGTGGAATGTGATGTTAGTGTCTATTTTATGTCTGTCTGTTGTATTTTTACACCCATTTACCGCACATTTCGTCATTTTTAGCAAAAAATTTTGGAGCTGTTCGCGGTGCAATATGACCTTGAGCACTAACAGCCCGCGCGCTCCTGGGAGCGCGTTTGGAACCCTCTAACTTGCCTCACTTAGCGTGTGCGGGCTAGGTTTCTATGCGTTATTATTCTAAGGGGAAGCTCATTGATTTATCGTCTGTAACCTGTAACCACCATATTATGTAATAGTTACAAAACAAATGAAGTCGGTCGTAACTAACCATAAAAAACTGTAAACTACTCTATAGATAGACCATAGATGCTATACGTAACAAGTTAGCGCACGTCAACTATTTCACGTTTCTCTCCATTCGTTACATTATCCTAGGAACTTGAGTTGCTATAAATTATAATTTTAGCACTTTAAATAGCGCGCTATAAAAATTTAGCGTGCTATGCGAATATAGCAGTTAATCTCATCTTTACCGGCGAGCCGTTTTCCAATCCAATCCGTCCAATTCCGTCCAATCACTCTCATCCGAGCTCGTATCAAGAGATTGTGACGAACATCTGTCGCTGTGCGTATTGTTCTTAACTTTATGCAGCTTGTTACCGTATTTGGTTGTCTGTTTCTTCTCTGTCGCGGAGCTCGTTAAATATTCCCTTCCAGATTTTATACAGCAACTTTCAAAGTGACCTTGTGGCTTTCATCGCAGCTATGGTAGTTTGCCTTACAAGTGTTGAACTTATGCCTCTCATGTGCACCGCATCGATGGCACTGGCTTGAGCTAAGTTTACGTAAAAACATACTCAGTTTGTTGTGACGAACTGTACTTTGCCTTGCTTTGACTTTAATAGCGGTAGCAGGCATGTCACCATCAGCATCACCTTCGGCGAGCTCTCTGGACAGAGCTACTGCGAAAAACTGTTTAAAGGTAACCTCTACAGTTCTTCCATCGTGAACCTCTTGAAGGTCTGGCCATTTTGTTTCAGATCCACTTCTAGTTGTGGGTGATTTAAGCCGGCGGCAAATCGATCACGTAATAGATGTTCGAACATTGTATCTTTGTAGCCAGAGTCGGTGGGGAGTTTCTTAAGCCTGTTGGCGTACTGTTCCATTGTCTCGTTGTTGCCTCGTAAGCAACTCCAGAATTCAGTTAGGGCTTTATATCTCGTGATTTTAGTTCGATGTAAGTCGAGTAGCTTAGACTTTATGTCATTGTACGAACTATTCTCAAAGTTAGGTATGAATGCTATTTTTAAATCGTGAAATGTGTCAGGGGATAAGCATGACATTTATAATTCTTTCCTAGTGTCATTTTCACTTAGGGCCCATATGTCACATTTGGCTTCGAAAAATTCCATTAATTTTTTCTATCGATGCAGTCACAGGGTTAAAAGTGTCACATTTAAAACTTTTAATAATTGTATACTTGTTTTTGCTTGTCGAGCTGGTAGGTTCCATGACAGGTGTCCCTGGCGTGGGAGTCTCCGCTGTCGGTCGTTGCTGTAATACAAGCTGTTGCAAAATGTCAGAAATCTGTTATTGTTGACTTTTTTGTAATTGTAGAAATTCTTAAAATTGTTCCTTGTTCATTTTATTTGGTTACTCCTCGTCGCCAATGAAATAAATAAATACTAACATAGTTCAAGCATTTATAATTTTATAGTCAGAACGTTGACTAAGTCAATATCAACCATAGATTATTCATAGTATATAACAGTCAAGTACAGAAACAGAAAATAAAGAGGAGGACATTGCTTTGGACATTAAGTTTATGACATTATTATTAAAAAGTTTACTTAGCTGTAAAGGATTGGCAACCGTGAAAAGCAAAAAAACATTATTATTTAAGTAATGAAACTATTTTTCCGATTTAAATCGCGTATATTTATTTTTTCAAACAAATAAACGTTTCGGGCGCTTTACAGGCCACATGGTCACGGTTGACTGTCACCAATCATGAGTCAACCGTGATCATGAGACCTGTAAAGGACCTAAAACGCTAATTTGTTTGAAAAAAAAATATACGCGATTTAAATCCGGAAAAATAGTTTCATTTCCCATGTGTAACAATCGCGAAAAACCTAATAACTCGAACATTATTATTATTGTGGCAATTAAATCATGTTTAATTATTAGGTACAAATTTCACAAAAATCGATTCAATGCATACGATCCGATTCGTGGATCGATTTAGAGGTATATGATCCCATTACGGTCCAAAAAATCGATTCAAAGCAAAAACTCGTGAATCCCTATGTCATACCCGTGTTGCCACTTTCTGTAAAATTATGTTATGCGATATTGCCTAATACTCTTCCAAAAAAATGCAACGTTATGTACAGGGTCAAGAGCACGTTAAGCTTGACACATAACATTTAAATCCCTCTCTATGCCGCTTACGATAAGAACGATCCAAAGTACAAAGTCTCAAGCTTGACGTGCTCTTGACTGTACATACGTATTATAAGATTTTTTTGTATATACAGCAAATATTTGTACAAACATATAGAACCTGACAATAATTAGTATTTCCGGGAAGAATGAGTACACGTATTTCGAAAAATAACTTTTTTTTTATATTTCACTTCTTTATATTATTTATAGCTTGCTAAATGCTTGCTTCTTAGTTAAAAAAAAAACCTACAGAAAGTGTATTTACGAAGCTGAACCTTACAAAATGACGTTAAAAACACGTCTTAAATTTGAAGCAAACTTTTCAAACGTTACGTCACGTCAAATCCAAGGTGGTGTTTGTTTTTGTTAAATATATTTTTTTGTGAATGCAAAAAAATAGTCTTTTTGAAAGTTAATAAATAAATATCATTGCTTTGAAACAATATTTTCAATAGTTACAATGGATTTAGTAAGTAATTCAATTAATTTCCAGTAAGATTTGTATCGTAAATCGGCCAATATTTATTATAACCACCTCATTGAACAACGAAAATAGTTCGTCTTGTTATTGAATTCATGCTAGAAAAATATGAAGCATGTAGATATTATAGCGATTACTTAATGTACAATAAACTGTGCATTAACATGTATTTGACAGTTTTATCTATCTTACATATAGGTTATAAACGTTATTGTCTACCAAAATCGTGGAGGTTATTTTTGGAGGCCAAACAAATGCTCCGTCATCGGGTTTCACCAATTACGCGCCAGTATCGATTGAACCTCGTAGTGGAAGGTTGTGTGAATTGTATAGTTCCATAATTTATCATTGACATAAGTTTATTTTTGATGATACTGTGTAGGTTTCACACATTCGCTTCCATTCCACAGGATTTGTGCAGTAAGATTTATTTTTGCTAACTCAAGTTTATGTTATAGATGTAACATTAATTTTCTACATTAAAACAAAAAAGTATGTAACTAATAAACTTCAATATGAATAACATTGAATGTTTTAAATGCTCTTTTATAGTTTTCACGAGCCCTATACCCTACTTACGGTGGGGTCGGGCTCAGCCTGTGGCACGTTTCAGATTACGGGGTGTGCTTATGCTCTTCGTTGGCACAGTGATTAAGTACTATGGACGCTTGATGAGGAGGTTTCAGATTCAATCCCTGATTTGAACCAAAAAAAATTTTTAAATTGGTTCTGGTCAGGGTATTCTGGGTATTGCCCTCAGAATTATCGTTACTCTGGTACTCATAGTACAGGAAATTCCCTACTTTGAAATTAGAAATTTGGAGTGATTCTCTGGCATTTTTTCCTTAAACTTCGCTTTTTGGCATAGTTTCCAAGAAAAAGAATCTGACAGAGAGATGGTTGAGATACAACAACGCTATAAGTATCTTATTCCACTACATCGGGAGATATGCCTTACATTAAGAACAATTGTGAAATCTTGTACCGTAATAGAGTCTCCGTATATTACCTATGTAGGGAGGCGTGCTGACGCTTTGGGCTTCGCCCTCCGCTACACCTCGGCCTACGGCCGTAAAAAATAAACAGTAGATTTTGACTGCAAATTATTAAATACTATTATTATTATTATTAAATATGTTATTATTATTATTAAAAATATTATTATTAAACACCCATAGAAATCCCCACATGCCGTTTTTCAATCGAATTAGAGCAAATTTTCATCTGCTTGCATAGTTTTTGCAGGCTGTTGATCACTCGTTTACATTTTCCACATTCAGGTCTCCTCATATTTGATTCTTTGCTTTGGAGCCTATCCGTGTATAACGTTATAAATATATTGTTTTCACCATATTGGAAAGTATGCGTTCTATTTTTGTAAGTGAGTCAGGATTTGTACCTTTATATATATAATGCATGTGTTTCTATGTAGTGTGTACTACTTAATATGTAATCATCAGTCTATCAATTTATTCAAATATTGTTGCCAGAGCAATAAAATGACTAAGGCACCAAAATATAAGCTGCTATTTTTTTTATATGCTAATTTCCTTTCAGAGTGAAATATGGAAATTGAACATGGTGTTACAGTAAAGGTATTATTCTTTGCACAAGCAAAAGAATTAGCTGGTACCAGAGAATCCACACTTTATCTACCACAAAAACTTAGCTACGGACAACTTCTAAATATTATCACAGAGAAATTTAACCTTGAAAAGATAAAGAAAAACATTCTCTTAGCTAAGAACGAAGAAGTTTGCGAAGACACTATTGATATTGATTTATCTGAATGTGATAATATTGCTGTGATACCACCCTTGAGTGGTGGCTAACAACACTCCTCTTTTAAATAGTAAAAATATTAACAAGAATTGGATAGCAGCAGCTCATAAAGATTAACTACTAGAAATATAAGAAAAAGTGATAAGAAAATTACATTATTACAAACTGCACTTCTATTACTGAAGTTACATACAACAAATCGATACAGAGTCTACAAAATACCATTGAGAGTGATAGTTCTCTGAAAGGTTAACAAAATTTGGAGAGGTATTACCATTCATAAGTTGCAAATACTCTGACAATGGATCATCTGAAGTTGACAATGGATGCGTTGTCCGTGGACACCATAAGTGACCTGGTCTTTGACCCCAGCTGTGGAGCTGTGTCTATTTTCGTCGGAATTACAAGAGATAATTTTGAGGATAAAAAGGTATGAATACTAGTTAAACTTTGTTTTTAAATGAGGTAAATCGCATTATCGGAGAAGTACCAATTAAAATATGTTACACCCAAAGGGACATGTGATTGTACCCGTTAACTTAGTACTCAAAATTCACAGCTTGCTTCATTGATAAACTCAAACCTTATCAACTGTAACTTGAATGGTATTGGTACTGTTAAATTTAGTTATATGAAATAAAGACTTTTGCTGTTGTTAATAATTTTAAAGTCACTTAACATTTAAATTTAACAGTTTAAATTTAAAAAATTTCAAAGTTTCAATTTGTATTTTGATGCAGTTGATTTTAAAGGTCATAAATTACAGGTGTTTGTAACAGCTATAATTTATTATTTTCAGTAGTATATTTCTATTGGGAGTACAAAAACCTGCTGTTGCTATATACTCGTTCTTGCCAAAGGCGTAACTTGTATCAGGGAAATTTTCATTTTATATAGCACTTTACATGTCGAACTGTAGCTTCTCGTTTCACCACTCAGTGGACGAAACAGAGAGTGTAGATTCTGCCACAAGGCGGGTAAAACTTCTCTACACCTCTTACCCAATGCTGCCCCTTGATTGACGTACGAAACTCCATACAGGGAAGGCACAAGCCACAGCCAGGAGACATCAAACAGTAGAGGCCATGAGAATCCTACAGTTCTTTAACACAGTTGGTCTTGGCTTTGAATGTGTGATGATCATGTGAGTGGTGATCATGATAGATCATTTATTGCATAGATCCTGAATAAAGCCATCCTAGTAATAATAATAACCAATGAGTCATATGCATATATATTTTAAAACACGCGGTGAAGTCATTCAAAAGCAAACTAGAGCAAAAATTATGAACCTCTTATACCAACCTCGTTGCCATAAAGTAATTTATAAGAATAACTGCTTCAACATGTGTATAATTATTTACAATAAATTACTAAACGAAATTAAATTGTTACAAGGACATACTTTTAAATTAAAATTGACAAAATGGCTTTTGACACATTGCTTCTATAGTAATAAAGAATACTTAGAATTTACAAATTCATGACATTAATTAGAAACTATAGAGACTAAAGAAACATTGAATCCCAATAATATTTGCACATCTGCTTGCAGGTTGAATACAATGTACCTAATTTTACTTAAGACCTTTGTAATTGCTGTATTCTGGCAAATAAACGTATTCTATTCTATTCTATAAAAAGGGTTACCATTCTTAATGGAAATTGTTTGCTAATGAAATGAGAGTAAAACCTTACCCAGTAATGATAAAAATTACAAATACTGCAGTTCCTTATTTCCTCACATCCGTTAGTAACAAATTCAGACATTTGTTGTGGATATGGTGCAAAACCAGTTAGCAATAAAGTGTTAATTTAAATGAAAAAGTTCATAAATAACTGTGACACTACAGCCTTGTACAACGTGAAAGATGTTGAGAAATATTTTTTTTAAATCTAAACCTAGCATTAGATCTCCTTGTGAAAGAGTTCGTCCAGGGAAGTACTACCTTAACTGGAACCTTACCTATTTCTGCCGCCAAGTGGTAATGACAGCTGGTGAAATTATGGGCATATGGGACTTGTCAACTTTTGTCTCTAGGTGACGGGCGCAGTGGCATTACACTTCAGATCTTTGCGATTTAAATCTCTGAGCAAACGCTACGAACAGGCGTGTCGCTTACTACCAGGCGCACGACTCATTCGTCCCGTCATTCCCTTGGTATCATAAAAAACACAAATAGAAAATAAAAAAACAAAACTCCTGAACGAAAAACAGTCACGACCACCTAATTAAAGTTCCTCGAGGAACCATAAAGACTCCCCTATTCTTCAAAATATATTTATGCACATTTATTTTTTACAATATTTAATTCAAATATGTGCAAAGCAGTAGTATAAAGTTTTTGTTTCGCTACATAGGTTCCCAAATAGTTTTGGCTCACCGCCCTTAGTACTTAGGCAAGAAAAAAAATTTAAACACCTACCACCACAAAATAATTCTTGAAAACACTTGTTTTTTATATTAACACAAAAATAATAATAAAAATTGTATATAAGTATGTAGTGTGCTTTATATAGATAATTCAGGTTTTTGTTTTCAAATGCGATAGCAACCCCTGGACAGCATCAAGCCCTCCTATTGCTTTCGAGGCCCCTAGGACTCTTCAGCGCCCACACTGGGAGGCGATAGGGCCCACTTTGCGAACCGATGCGCGATAATAATAATAGCTTTATATGTCCCTTACAACAGTACTATATAACTTATTCAATTTCTATTTGCTACTATGGTTAGTATTGTCTTAATTTACAGTTAGTAGTGTTATGTGTAAGGGCCGCTTTTAGCGGTGAAAGTCTCCTCCATCTTCTTCCAACAGACTCTGTCTAGTGCCAGTCTTGGCCATAGTGTTCCTGCTACCTCTACGATATCATCACTCCACCTCTTTGATGGCCTGGCTCGTCTCCTTTTCTTATAAATCGGGTACCAGTTCGTGACTATCTGTGACCACCTTCTGTCTGTGACTCTCTGGATATGACCAGCCCATTACCATTTTAGTTACAACACCCGACTTACAACTTCTCTTATCTTTGTGCTTTTTCTCAATACTGAGCCTTAAATTGCGGTCTTTGAGCTTTATATTCATATAGTTTCTTTCTATCCCTTTTTGGCAGGTTCTTGTTTTGTTGAGATAGGACGTTTTGAGTTCCCATGTTTTACATGCATATGTTAAGCAGACAATGGCTATAGGCAAGAAGAAAGACTATGCGCTATAGTAAGGTTTAAATCTCGTAAATGGCAAATGTTTAGTATTTATAGTATTTTGTTTACAAGTCATATGCATTGACCATGTCATTTTTTAACTTCTGACCATCAGGTGGTGCATCTGGAGTACGAAGCATATGAAGCAATGGCATTGAAAGCAATGAAAGCCATTTGCGAGGAGATTCGCAGAGAGTGGTCTGCTGTTCACGGCATCGCTATGTACCATCGGTAAGAGTTTACTTTTACAACAATTATTAAATTTACTTTACGAGTCTGTTTTGCTAAACAATAATAAAGTGTTAATAATTATAACAAACTAGTGGAATAATTTCACAAAAAAATAATTGTATATGGTGTTTCACCATCCTGACATTCAATAAAATCAATTAATAATGAAGTTATAAAGTAAAATATAGGTATGCAGAGGACAAAGATTTCCACTTACTATAATAATAATAACACACGCAACACAGCCCACACTAGGAAAACCCTGTGTCGCAGGTGCTATGGACACACACATAGACAACCACAAATTACACCCAAACTCACGAGAGAAATAGACGTAGGCCATACAAATATTTCCCCCGGCCCGATAATCGAACCTGGGACCTCTGCGTGGCAGTTCGGCATGGTAACCGTTTGGCCATAAACGCAGTTGTATACTGTGTTCATGATATACATTTTCATTATCATACTTCATATACACTTGTGTAAACGGTGCGCCTGTAAGCTGGTAATAAAAACTATAGCACTTAAAAACCTATTTTTATGCAAATTTTACAATGAAAATTATAATAACCTGCGCGAAATAGCATTACTTGAGTTTTATTATCATACAACGTACTGAATACAGTCCTATGCAGTGATAAGCGGTATTTCAAAGAATACTAGATAAACTTAGCCAACGAACATGTTATTGTAGCGCTATGACACTCTAGACTCGACAACAACACACCAGCAACACAAACATGCAACACTGGTGTGTTGCTGGTGCGACACACCTGCATAACAGCTACACCAACAACACATACATACACCTACACATTCACCTGTTACACTTACAAGTTAGGTATTGTAAGTGTAAACACTATTGGGCAATTTTCATTATAGTACAGGGAAATTCCATTAAAAATGTCATGTTTCTTAAATTGCCAATTATTTATTAATTAGTTATCAACAATGGAAACCTTTGATACACCGATAGCATGCTGTGAAAATAAATCTCAGAGCAATATTTAATTCAATAAAAAAGGTTCCGAGAAACAAATTAAATTTTAGCATACGTTGGCTAACTGTAACACTAAGTAAGCTGCGTTAAAATAATAATAATAATAATAACGCACACACTCAACATAGCCCTAGGGAAACCCTGTGTCGCGGGTGCCATGGACACACACATAGACAACCACAAATTACACCCAAACTCACGAGAGAAATAAATGTAGGTCATACAAATATTTCTCCCGGCCCGGGAATCGAACCTGGGACATCTGCGTGGCAGTCCGGCATGGTAACCGTTCTGCTACAGAGGCAGTTAAATGAGTTTACCTACAGAAAAATAAACAGATTATAGCAACATTTTGTTGAAATAGTGATAAAAAAAATTTGACGACCTCTGTGGTCGAGTGGTGTCGACATCTTTGAGCCGGGTTCGATCCCCGGCTGGGTTAATGAAGAAAACTAACTTTTCTTCATTGTCTCGGGTCTGGGTGTTGTGGTACCGTCGTTGTTTCCTATTTCCATAAAACAAGTTCTTCAGTTACTTACTTTGGGATCAGTAAAAAAAATTATCATTTTTACCAAATATTCAAGAGCTTATTTAAATCACAATTCTACGAAAAAAATAACTGTACTTCCGAATAATATACTTTTCACTACGGTGAGAATAGCGGTAAGAAAGGCTTTCTTTCTCATCAGAAATCTGCGCGCAATAGCGTTTCTCCACGCTAGCGTAAAAAAGGTTTTTAAAATTCTAACTTGACGGGTGGTGCACCTAACTTTTTCTTTCGATGAAAAAGAAACATAATGACACGTTCAACTACGCGATTTGTCGTACATTATTTATTGATGTAATACGAATCCGTTGGCATATTTTATTCTTATTATTGTTGAAATTAAATTGACGTCGATAACTAATATTGCTTATTAAATTATTTTAATACGTCGAAGAACTCAAATAATTTCAATAATCACACAAATTTAAAGTACAAGCAAGAATAAAAATTGAAGAGGTGCAAATTCGGAACACATCCGAAGATAAACTTTTTCCTTTGATGAAAAAAACTGATTTGTTATAGTTCAACCATTGAGCTACCAATGAGTTCCAACTGTTTTTCTTTCATCTACCATTTTCGTCGCTATAGTGAAATGAAAAGTTGTTTCGCTCGGGAGCCAAGTTGTTTTGCGTCTCTCGTCGTCGTCGCCTTGAAATCCTCGCTACGCTCAAGATTCTATTTTTGAACCACTCGCTTCACTCGTTCTTCAATCTTAACAGCCTTCAATACAAGAACTCACGTCAAATAACAACTTTTGCAGCGTTGCATAACAAATAACTTACTGGCGAAAGAAATACTAACTTACCGATAATTATCTATGTTGTTACTCATGATAGTATATCCATGGGATGGAATGATTTAACATGTACCAAAGTTTATGAAATATAATAAGGTCGGTTATTAATTTATGATAGGTGGTTATACTTATCTCAATTCTGCAGTCATAGTATTACAAGCTTCTGCTTAGTTTAGGTACCAGTATTTTGCAAACATAATATAAACACAATTTTTGTATATCTTACTTTGGTTCATGTTCAGTTGTTATGTTTGTGGAGAAAAATAAATACATTATTAATTAAATTTTTATTGAATTGATATTCAATTACCTATTTTTTTGTGAAATTACTCCACTAGTTTGTTATAATTATTAATACAAAGATCGAACACTCAGAAAAAACACCCAGAAAAAATTCCTTCGATCCGGTCGGATTCGAACCGACGTCTTCTTGCATACCGTGTCAGACGCCATACCACTACGCTACGACTAAAAAGTCGTTGAAAGACCAAGTACAAAGACACGACGCAAGCACATAGAAGAATTCGTGAGGTCCGTTGTTTCGTTCCGTGGCTTAGTTGGTATAGCGTCTGGCACGGTATGCAAGAAGACGTCGGTTCGAATCCGACCGGATCGAAGGAATTTTTTCTGAGTTTTCGATCTTTGTATTAATAATTAAATACATTATTATTATTACTTAACAATAGTTCTCGGTAAAATATAAACCAAGTTGGTAGAGTAGTATAACGTCAGCAAGATTTTTCGGAACTTTCATTCGGTTGTTTCGTATTTTTATTTGCACAAAAGTTTTCCGTAGCTTAGTAAATAACGCAGTAATATTTATAATTTGAATAACCTCATTTTTAATTTACTCTTCGAAGCGTTTATTACTACCCATTTCTATAGATAAACATAATTAGCTCTTGGGTACTGGACTACAAGGTACTCAATAAATCGTTTCCATTGTGTTAAGATAATAACAGAGTAAATGTGAATGTAGTGAATGCAGAAATAATTAATCTATTGTAAATGTGCGCTTTTTAAAATAAACGATTTTTTTTTAATGTTTAATATGTATTTAATTCTTTCATCTATATTAGTTGACCTACGTATAAATTATAAATGAACTGCATTCAAGGTAACATTATTATTATGTTAAGCACACTAAATTATTATTTAATAATCAAAAATTATATTTGATCCTCTGTTTTTATCATTGGTTTTTATCAAAAGAAAAGTCTTTTAACGATTTTGACATTTTTATCCAGTACAATTTTGATATTGATTTCCTAATAAATCTTGGTTGCGCCCACCATTCAGTAGGTTAGGTTAAGTTAATATGTGAAAAAGCAGAAGCCAATTTGCTTGCGTTTCAGAACATGTTTTCAGGTCAAATTATATTATAAATAATATAATATTAGTGTAAAAATAAAATCAACATTTACTTAGTTTTAAAAATAGTATTAATATTTTATTTTTGATGCTAATTTGTCTTAGTTTTGAGGCCCAACATAAAACTATCAAAACTAATTTATACAAATCAAACATTTTTTCATTGCGTAGCTCAGAACAGATTAGACTATAGATCGATTTAATTTATTTTATGTCTAGAGAAAGAAGATCAATCGTTAAACAAGATGACCGTTTAGATTTTTTGCCTGCTGCTTTTGCAAATTTAAAATGATCATTTAAATACATGCCTTTAAAAAGGTCAATTCTTACATCGTCCAAGGGTCACATTATCTTTTCGTCATTGCTAAAACGTATGTAGATAACGAACATTGTGGTAGGACGATAATTCTCGTTGACAATATGAATGATATTGTAAACAACAAAACAATCCATAAATGACTTACAGATTCAATGTTAATGTCCGAGATGCCTGACCCCCCAAACGGGCTCTTTGGTTCTGATATTAATAGATCAGAAGAAATATGTTTATCAAACTTAACCTTTTATCTGAGAGCCGTAACTAAAATTCATTTTAGTATTACTTCCTTGTTGCATCATTAGTAAATGACGTTTCAAGAAACTTTTCAAGTCAATTAGATGTTTAAGCTTTTTCTTCTTATTGTATAGCATATACTATAATGATTGCCATCGTGGTGAAAAGGATTGCTGCCCAGGCTGCGCTAGACGTACTGGGGGTCGATTCAGAACGTTACGTTAACTCAGGTGCCGACCGATTTCTTTTCGTTTTTATTCACGACACCCGAATCGAACGTCAAACTGTCGTATTCGAAACCGAACCGAAATGACGTCACACCCGTCGATTACTCGAACGTCTCGACCGGCAAAGGCTACGAACGTTATTCAGAACGCAGTTATCGAATGAAAGTTACCGAACGTCCTATTGTTTACAAAGCAAGAATTTACTATGAAAATCTCTTTATTATTTTAAATAAAGTCTGGATTTTGATTAATTTTAATTATTTATTAAATTTTTATTGAATTGATATTCAATTATTTTTGTGAAATTACTCCACTAGTTTGTTATAATTAATAATACAAAGATCGAACATTCAGAAAAAACACTCAGAAAAAATTCCTTCGATCCGGTCAGATTCGAACCTACGTCTTCTTGCATACCGTGCCAGACGCTATACCAACTAAGCCACGGAACGAACCAACTGACCTCACGAATTTTTCTATGTGCTTGCGTCGTGTCTTTGTACTTGGTCTTTCAACGACTTTTTAGTCGTAGCGCCATCTATGAGAAATCTATGACAGATTTATCACCCAGTTTTACAGCTACCAGTCCTGGCGAGAGATGTCCGAATCCGACCGGATCGAAGGAATTTTTTCTGAGTGTTCGATCTTTGTATTAATAATTTTAATTATTTTAATGCAATGACTAATGCATTCCTGTATTTTAGGCCTTTAAAGTCTTAAAAATGTATATTAAAGGATCTTCATTTTTCTTATAATCTATTTCACCGAATAACTCCGTAAACGCTGTTGGATAACGATATCTATCCGAATCCGACTCGAACTTTTAACTCGAATGTTCTGAATAGCTCGGAAACGCCCGTCGATTCGACAACGATATCCAATCCAACGATTCGGTTATTAAAATACCGAAGAGTTCTGAATCGGGGTCCAGGAAAGGAATGATACGTCGACTTTTTTCGTACACTCCTAATTTACTTTAATTATATTACATAAATATAAAATTCAACCAAAAACCTGGAATTTATAATTATTAATACAAAGAACGAACACTTAGAAATAATCCTTCGGTCCGGTCGGATTCGAACCGACGTCTTCTAGCAAACCGTGCCAGACGCTATGCGGACTAGACGGATTTTTCTATGTGCTTGTTGTCGGATCTTTTCGTATTTGGTTTTCGACGACTTTTTATGACAAACTAATGGAGCAATTTCACGAAAAATAATTTCATTTCATCTGGAATTTCTTTACACTTTTCTTGTAAGAAAGCTATCAGAACCAACATGTTGGCTAACCCTGCTTTGCATTGCGGAGTAATATCTCTACACGTCTATGTAGAAGCTACTTGTAACCAGTTTTGTGTTCAAACAAAAAAGAAACAACCAATCATTATTTTGATTACTTCACAACATACAACAAGGCCGCCGTTAGTGGTTTATCTAGTTTCAATTGAATTGCATATATCCTGTTGTATACAATACGTAATTTATTATAGCGAACCTTGTTCAGAAGCATTTATAAAGTAATGTATATGCTGTATGCCAATGGAAGAGAAACAAGAATTGGCGTGGAATTTGCGTTCATTGTGTAGTTAGACTTTTTTATAATACCAAGTAAGAGGGACGAACAAAGTCGTGTGACATACAAAATACATAAATTTCAGACATTAAATATTTATGTAATTTTTTTATTTATCTTTATTTTTTTTAATTATATTTAAGATAAACAAAAAATGGTGGTTGAGTGGCTTACACACCAGTTTTCACACTTACAATTTAGATATTGTAAGTTACTACACTATTGGACAATTTTCATTATAGTACAGGGAAATTCCATTAAAAATGTCTTGTTTCTTAAATTGACAATTATTTATTAATGGTTTATCAACAATGAAAACCTACGATACACTACTACGATACGATAATCTGAGAGCAATATTTAATTCAGTAATAAAGGTTCCGAATAACAAATTAAACTGCAGCATACTTTGGCTTAAGACTAAGTAAGCTGCGTTAAAATAGTTTACCTATTGAAAAAAAAAAACACAGATTATAGCAACAACATTTTGTTGAAATAGTGATAAAAAAAATTTGACGACCCCGTGTTCGAGTAGCACATCGGTTTTCATGGTGTCGCCATCTCTGAGATCCCGGGTTCAATTCCCAGACGGGTTGATGTAGAAACTAACTTTTCTATATTGTCCCGGACCTGGGTGTTTATGGTACTTTCGTTGTTTCCGAAATCCATAACATAAGTGCTTTAGCTACTTAGTATATGATGTTGTCTAATATTTATAAAAAAAAATCTACCTATTACATGTTCCATTCTTCTATGGAGGGGGATTAGGCCTTAGCCACACTCTCTGGCACATTATTAATTTAATTCCAGATTAGGCAAAGTCCCCTGTCGCGAGGCGTCTGTGGTTATAGCAGTAAGCAGCCCGCACCGCCGCGACTCTCTCGAGGCGGTCTCGGCCTGCATCGATCGGCTTAAGGCGCGGGTGCCCATCTGGAAGAGGGAGGTGTACGCCGACACGCCGCCCGTTTGGAAGGAGAACCGCGAATGTGCGTGGAGTACTCATCATTCACAGATTGTGCCCCAGGCACAGTAGGTTAACTATGAACTTCCTGCGGTACAGTCAGCATCAAAATAATCTTACTTTATTTAGTTTGCTAGACGACTACGACGAGATAGGAATTATTTAGGTGTGCATGCTCCATTATCGACCTCATCGTCTCTTTCTATCAGGTGAGAAGGAGGTCAAATGTACAATTTTATAATACAGAGTGACGGGGTGAACAAGTCGTGCGCGCACATTACTGCTTGGCGTCAGAAATAGGTAAGGTGGCAGCACTCACCTTTACTGTTACTTTGAATTAAAACGCTTTAGTCTTCGTTTGGTCGACCGACAGCACGCTTGTCAGTCATGCCGTACCGTAATTCTATATACTATGGCATGATTGTTTATTAAAAACTTGTAAAACGAAAAACAGGATGGTGTATCATATTTTATTAAGTAGTATATTACGTTGTCGTAGTTATCATTTCGTATATCAAAGTTATTTTCACGTTTGTAATATATGTATGTATATTTCTTTAAGTGAATTGTTTTAAATTAATATTGGCAGTAAAGGATACTTACTCATCGACTATATAACAGAAATAGAGACGAAATATCATTTAATTTGTTTGAAAACTATTCTGCCAAATCATTACGGTGACGTGTGTCGTCAATTGTTTCACTTCAAATCGATCAGTTTAACTTGAGCTTTGCTATAATGGACGAAGATTTAAAAATTACATATTTAATTACCGTTGAAATGTGATTCCGTTTGTTTTGTAATTGGATGTTTTGCTGTTTTTCCCACACCACCAAATGGAACAGCCACCCATAGTTACAGATATTATCTTTATTACAATAAATACAGAACATTTTTGGAATATACGGAGACGTACATACAGATCAGTTGTTTGCGCTGTACTATTTCAGCTTTCTGATTTGTGATTTCAGTGCAAACGAGAGTTGATATTTAATATTATATAAGGCCCATTTGCCTGATGAGTGGCCAGGGATGGCCCTTATTTCGTCTCTGTTACGGGTTATATACTTGCTGAGTCTGCTCCATTACTCTGGTGTTCAAGCAGTTTTCACTGGAAGATGAAGATGGTGCATTTTGTTAAGTTTCCAGTAGAAGCTGAATATAGTGAATTTGTAGGTCTTGATATTGTTGCAAGCAATATTAAGCAGTACTGCAATGACATTGCAATTTAAATTAAATGTTTTATATACTAAGACCCGTCGTCTATTTGTTGGTAGGTCAAGGGTAATTAGTGATAAATATTCTATTGTTATTTTCTCCTAAGCAATAAACTTTTGGATTACAGTTTATATTAAAGTGGAAATTAAATGGATAAATAATAGAGAACGTTATTTGTGCTTGTATACTACGTGTCACATCCTCAACAGTAAAGTGACTTAATACTAAAACTACAATTTTGGGAAACGACTAAATAAATTAAAAAAAGTAACGTACCATTTAGCTGATGCCAAATAAGTCAAAATATTACACAGATATAAATTCCTTTGATCTAACTTGACTAGAACCTGCAGTGTAATCATATCGAAGGTTTTTTTTTATGTTTTCGTCGTTTGTCTAAATAATAATAAACTAGTGCAATATTTTCACAAAAAATATATGAATATTATATTAGTAAAACGTAGAGTCAATAAATAAAAATTAACATAGTATTTGATGTGAAAAACGACATACCGAAGGTTTTCCAGAATAGTGGCCTTTTGCGTGGTTTGCAAAATTAACTGGCACGCTAAGCCGACAAACCGTATTCCAGACCAAAATTGTGACTGGATCTTTTTAAACAATGGAATGATCTTAAATGGAGTGCATCTTTTTCATAACAATATTTAGCAAATTTCTAATGTAGCTGGGCAATAAGTCAAAAGTGAACTATTTTCGTTTTTTATTTTGGTTTTGGTTTGAGCCACTTTAAAAGTAGTGATATTATAAGTTGTATTTCTTTTTTCTTTTTTTTATTGTTATCAAAGCGAGTGTTTAGGTTTTTGGTATTACACATTGGAAAGGAATGAATAAATTAATTAATTTCCATTTTATTTGTCAGTTTCCCAAAAACTTTACTATTTCAATTATGTTACTTTATTATTTAAAGTGTGATGCAGTGTAGAAATGTAGTTATACATAATTTCCATAATATAAAATATTTTTTGGTTGTTACCTAAAAAAGATATCTCAAAGATAAGCTCATAGAAAAATATCACATATGATATGATATGATTATTTAGAACATAGCGATGTTATCGCGTTGTTTGTATAGATTTAGAAATATTAATATAAATGGACAATGGTGTCAATTCCGACAAACACATGATGCATCTCTTTAGTCTAAATTTTTATTTAAGTTTAGTGCTCTCAAATTTTGACAGCATTTTGACAGTAGTCTTCTTCTTTTTGGTTATTGGCGGTGTCAGTTTTGTAAAAATATATATAAAAATTATAGCGAACGTCACTAATGTCAAGTTTTAAATAGAAAAGTATGAGTCTCACGGTACATATTAACTATAATGTCAGTACAGAGTACTAAACTAACCGACTTCAAAAGTCATTCATCCCCTAGTTTGCCACCCTTAGAGGTGGAATAATTTCTTCAAATTTAAAGGGAATACTACAGAGGTACCATCTTTAGAACAAAAAAAAGGTCATCAATATCGGTTCACAAATGCGGTTAAAAAAAAGTTATCGCGTAACATATATACAAAAAAAATACAATCGAAATGAGTACCTCCTCCTTATACCGCATAACTCGCGTATTTTTGCTCGACGTGTTCGACCTCGTGGTCTATACTGAATGACCGGGCTGCAGTTTTCGATGGAGCGTCCGCCGCGAAAGCTCATAATTAAGAAAAATTCGATGTGAGTTGTTCGTTACTTTAGTAGTAATAATTTATTTCAAACATACATAATCCATAATATTTATTAGTGAAAATATATTTAAAACTAGTGTTAAAATTCAACACACGTCATCTAAGTTTAAGTATAGTCTATGGGCGTCTACCAATTTGACAGCTCTGAACTACAATTAAATCTTCTTTTAGCTCTGATAAATACACAGATGCACTAAACTTAAATTAGGTTTAGTTTGCTGGAATCGATACCAATTTATTGTTATGTTTTTGTTCCTCTTTTGTTGGTGATTGGGTTAGTAATTTTTTTTGTTATCTTTTTTATCGAGTCTTATTAGAAAAGGCATAATAAACTTGTTGTTACCACAAGTACATTATAAATAAATGTTCCTTGTTATGATACTTGTAGATGTTTATTGTGTTACCATTTCCTGATATTCCTAATCGTTCAAAACAACACACAAAACATTGTCAATTATTTTGGACAAAACGGCAATGTCTTAAGTAGGCGAACTGTCATAAGTGCTATTATTGCTTGGCTAGAAAGAAGAATATTCAATTATGTCATCGTTTCTCGTTTTTTTTGTTTTCCTTCGTTCCGCATGGAACATTCGAAGGTCAGAGACCATATTGCCTAGTCATTAGTCTCTCTTTTACTGCAGTGTTTCGATTTAAGTCTTCAGCGTAAGATACTTCAGTTTAAGTATTTCCGTAAGAGAGTGTAAAGTCTTTAGTTTAAAATATGAATTATCCAGGATCCGAAAAAGTCGCAATAATATCAAATGTTAACGTCAAATCCTTAATCATTTGTCAATTTTATTTCGTTTTAGTCATCTTAGTATAATGTCATCGTCGATTGTATCGACGGAGCTAACACTATAAAAAACAATAGACTAAACTAAATATAGCCATATACTGTGCTATTTATAAAACTAAATAGGGTATATACGTCGACCTATTTACAAGAAGAGCCTGAATAGAGCGCGGCACCGAATCAGCAGGTCAATCGATTCGATTAGGTATCGTATAATTTCTTTTAATTTTTATTCACAATAGCTGAATCGAACCTCAAACTATCGTATTCGAAACCGGGGCTCTACTCTCGATCTCCGTCCGAAACAATTACTGCCAAATAAGCAATACTTGACCAAATGAAAAGACGCGTGATGCGAATGAAGCTTCATACTGGATACTTGTCTTTTAATTTTGTCGAATACTACTTATTTGACAGTAATTGTTTCGGACGGAGATCCAGAGTAGACCCCGCGAACCGAAATGACGTCACACCCGTTCGATTACTCGAACTTCTCGACCGGCATAGACTACAAATGTTATTCGGAACACAGTTATCGAATAACACTTACCAAACGTCCTATTGGAATTGTGTATGGAAATCTCTTATTATTTTAAATAAAATCTGGATTTTATAACATCTTGTGTAACTTGCAAACTAGGAGCTTTACTCCCGTTTTCCATCCGACATCCAAAACAATTCAATGCCTTACTTTCTCAATCTCGTATTTTATAAAGAGTTACTATTCAGGAGATGACAAAACTTTCTATTTATTTTAAATTTTATATCAAAGGTTAATTTGGATGCTTTACTTCAATAATAGGTAAAAGCCAGTTTGTGAATATGAAGGCAATGTGATGTGAAATTAGCCTGCAAAGTTTGTATATACAATCCATTTTCTGCATTTCAGTAACTTGTGCTTTAAGATACGAGTTTGAGAACGTAAGACGACGAATTGCTGTCAAATAAGTAATACTCAACCAAATTAGAAGATGCTTGATGCGAATGAAGCTTCCTACCTGACATTGTCTTTTAAATCACTTTTTGTAGGTTTTGACTGTTGGAATTACAGGAATCTTATAGCCTTTAGTAAAAAGGTTGTCAGGAAAAAAAATACATTCAGTTATACATCAAGCCTTTGGAATCTTTGTGTTTTTGCCGCCAAGCAGTAATATGAGCATCACTACGTTCCGATTTTGGGACTTCTTAACTTTACGTCTCAGGGTGTCTCGGGCGCAGTGGCAATACGCCTCAGGTCTCTCCGAAGTGGCATTGCATGTGGCTTACCATCAAGCTCACGACCAGTTCGTCCTGCCACTTGATATCGTTAAAAATAAATTGCGGAACATGTATCTTGCTCAATCTCGCACTCGCGGTCGACTAAATTCATAAACCTCGTAACCTCCATTCAACCCGTCATGTGTGCTAGAGACGCATAGTGTCCCTAAAAATTTTGGTACTGTATAGTGCTAGTGATACACGGTGTATCTAATGGCCAGCGCAAACCAGCTTGCGGGAAGGTAGAGGACTTTAAATTTATCAATGTCTATTTTATGCTATTGCAATTGAAATAAGGTATACATTTCAATGCTCTAAGAGGCAGAGAGCTCCGAGCTTGATCTCAGAGCGTTGTACCTAATAGTAAAACTACCCTACCCTAACTTTACGCTGGCCTTAACGCGCAGTTATATTTTCATCCACCATTTTTATTTATTTTTTTATTAAAACCGTGCCGTTACCGTTAAGGACACCGTGCGTCCCTAGGACGTTAATGTGATCTTTTGAGTGGGCACAAAAACTGGATTACTAGAAATAATTATATGGCAATACCTTTCTTGATCTAATTTTCTTTTATAATACTAAGTGACGGGACGAACAAATCTTGCGCCTGATGGTAAGCGTCACGCCGGAGCCGGAGTTAAGACCTTAGGGTGCCCCCAGGGCATTGCCACTGCGCCCGTCACTCTTGAGACATAAGTTGACAAGTCTCATGTGCCTGTAATTTCACCAGCA